CGCCTATGACTACATCGCCAAGCCGTTCGATATCGACGAACTCGATATCACCGTGGCCAAAGCCCTGCAGTTTCGCGACATCCTGCGCGACAACGCACGCCTGCGCGCCGAGCTGGATGAGCACGCGCAGTTCGACAGCCTGGTGGGCGACAGCCCGGCGTTTCGCAAGGTGCTCCAGGCAGTGGATTCGGTGCGCGACAGCAGCGCCACCATCCTGCTGACTGGCGAGAGTGGTACCGGCAAGGAAATGGTCGCGCGCGCCATCCACAAGCACGGCAGCCGCGCCGACAAACCCTTCGTGGCGGTCAACTGCGCGGCGATTCCCGAAGGCTTGTTGGAAAGCGAGATGTTTGGCCATCGCAAGGGCGCGTTCACCGGCGCGGTGTCGGACCGGGTCGGGCGCTTCCAGCAGGCCGACAAGGGCACGTTGTTTCTCGATGAAGTAGGCGATATGCCCCTGGCCTTGCAGGCCAAGATCCTGCGCGCTTTGCAGGAGCGGGTGATCGAGCCGGTGGGCGACCCGCGTGAGCGCAAGGTGGACGTGCGAGTGATCGCCGCCACCAATAAAAACCTGCTGGATGCAGTGGCCAACAAAGAGTTTCGCGAAGACCTGTATTACCGCCTCAATGTGTTCCCGATCCCGCTACCGGCCCTGCGCGAGCGGGTGGAAGACATCGCGCCCCTGGCCCGGCATTTCGCCCAGACCCTGAGCGCCACCGCCGGCAAACGCATCACCGGTTTCAGCCCCGAGGCCTTGCAGGCCATGGCGGCGTATCACTGGCCGGGTAATATCCGCGAGCTGCAAAACTGCGTGGAGCGCGCGACCATCGTGGCAGCCACGCCCGTGATCGAAGACATCGATTTGCCAGGCTATCTGTTTGCTTCCAAGCCCAGCGAGGGCGGCGTGGCGACGATTCTCAGCGACGGCCCCGGCATTCCCCAGGACTTGGATGCGGCGCTGGCCGAGGTCGAGAAAGCCTACATCCTGGCGGCGTTACAGGAGAGCAACGGCGTACAGGCCGCGGCGGCGGCAAAGATCGGGATTTCCGAGCGCAGCTTCTGGTATCGCCTGAAGAAGCTGGGCATCCAGGTCGACAAAATAGTCCGCTGACTCAACCGGGATAAAACTGTGGGAGGAGGCTTGCCCTAATGCCAGTCAGTTAGGGGATTCAGTTGATCCAGCCCAGGCAATAACTTTCAAAGGTGGGAGGGGGCTTGCCCCCGATTGCAGTGGCCCAGTTACAGATGAGCTGACTGTCACACAGCTATCGGGGGCAAGCCCCCTCCCACATGTTTGACCGCAGTGTGTCAGGTGTGAAGGCGTACCCAGACGCTTACCAGCACAGTTGCGGCGATTAGCCACGCTACTGCCGCTACGGCTAAAGAAGCCTCCAGGCGCATTCGGTCGACCATCACATACAACGCAGCCAGGTACACAAAGTACGGAATGATCGACCACATGCCGAACAGGATGGTGGTCTTCAAGTCTTCCACCGAGCGGCCTTTGCCGACGATGTAGTGGGCGATCAGCGCAAAGGTCGGGAACAGCGGCACCAGCCCGGCGATGTAGTAGTTCTTGGTCTTGGCCAGCGCGGCGAGTATCAGCACCACCGCCGCGCCCAGGGCGGCCTTCAGAAACAGATCCATCAGTGACTCAACCCATATTTTTTGACTTTGTCGAACAGCGTGGTCTTGGCCATTCCCAGCTCCTGGCTGGCTTGGGTCAGGTTGCCGCCGCTGCGTTGCAGGGCGTCCATCAGCAAATTGCGCTCAAAGGCTTCCACCGCCTCGGTAAAGGCCAACCCCTGGCCGCCGCTGCTGGCGCCGCTTTTTTTGAATGCGGGCAGGCCGAGTGCGAAGCGTTCGGCGACGTTGCGCAATTCGCGGACGTTGCCGGGCCAGTCGTGGCTCATCAAGCTGGATAGGGTCTGGTTATCCAGCTCCGGCGCGGTGCGGTCGAAACGCAGGGAGGACTGCTGCAGGAAATGCTCGAACAATTGCAGGATGTCTTCGCGGCGCTCGCGCAGTGGCGGCAACTCCAGGGTGACTACGTTGAGGCGGTAATACAGGTCGCTGCGGAACTGACTGGCGCGGCTCAGCTCGTCCAGGTCGGATTTGGTCGCGGCAATCACTCGGCAATCCACCGCCACGCTCTGGTTGGAGCCGAGGCGTTCCAGGGTGCGTTCCTGCAACACCCGCAGCAGTTTGATCTGCAGGTTGATGGGCATGCTTTCCACTTCGTCGAGGAACAGCGTGCCTTCATGGGCGTGTTCGATCTTGCCGATACGCCGCTTGCCGGCGCCAGTGAAGGCGTTGGCTTCGTGGCCGAAAATCTCGCTTTCAAACAGGTTTTCCGGCAAGCCGCCGCAGTTCAGGGCGACGAACTGGTGGGCGTGGCGCCGGCTGAAATCATGCAGGCAGCGGGCGACCAGTTCCTTGCCTGTGCCGGTCTCACCTTCGATCAACACATTGGCTGAGGTGTCGGCGACATTGGCGATCAATTCGCGCAGGTTCTGCATGGCCGGCGAACGCCCGATGATTCGGCCTTCCAGGGAGTCGCGTTCGGCCAGTTGACGGCGCAGCGCCCAGACTTCCCGCGCCAGCCCGCGCTGCTCCAGGGCGCGCCGGGCGACGTCCACCAGGCGTTCGGGGGAGAAGGGTTTTTCCATGAAGTCATAGGCGCCGTTGCGCATCGCCCCGACGGCCATGGAAATATCGCCGTGCCCCGTGATGAGCACCACCGGCAGGCTTTTATCCAGGGCTTTGAGGCGGGTGAGCAGCTCCAGGCCGTCGATGCCCGGCAGGCGGATATCGCTGATGACAATGCCGGCAAAGTTCTCGCCGACGCGCTTCAAGGCTTCCTCGGCGCTGGCCACCCCCACACTGGTGATGTCTTCCAGCGCCAGGGCCTGCTGGCAACCGAGCAGCACATGGGGGTCGTCTTCGACGATCAGGACGGTGAGGTCATTGGGGTCTGTATTCATGTCGACTCAGTGGGGTGAGCGCCCGCCAATGGCAGGCTCAGGACAAAGGCCGTACCACCGCTGGGCGGGTGTTCCACGGCGAGGTTGCCGCCGGTGGCCGCCGCCAGGCTGGCCGACAGGGTCAGCCCCAGGCCCAGGCCTTGTTCGCCGGGTTTGGTGGTAAAGAACGGTTCGAACAAATGTTTGCGCGCCTCGGGGTCGATGCCGTGGCCATTGTCGCGCACCTGCAAGCGGTATTTGCCCTCGGCGTTGCTGCCCTCCAGCCACAGTTCGGGCGCCGGCTGGGCCTGCATGGCATCCAGGGCGTTGCCGATCAGGTTGACCAGGATCTGCTCCAGGCGCGTTTGATCGATCTGCAATGGGGCGTCGGTAAAGTCACGGTGCAAGGTCAGTGGCAGGTTGTCCAGACGCGCGCTCAGCACCTGGAGCGCGGCGTCCACAGCCTTGGCCAGGCTGGCTTGGCCCTGGTCGTCGCCACGCCGGGCGAACGAGCGCAGGCTGGCGGTGATGCGGCCCATGCGGTCGATCAGTTCGTTGATGGTCTTGAGGTTGGTGCTGGCGGTGTCCAGCGCGCCGCGTTCGAGGAAGCGCACGGTATTGCCGGACAAGGTGCGCAGCGCCGCCAACGGCTGGTTCAATTCATGGGCGATGCTGGTGGACATCTGGCCGATGGCCGCCAGTTTACCGGCCTGCACCAGTTCATCCTGGGCGCGGCGCAGGGTTTCTTCGGCCTGGCGCCGTTCGCGGATCTGGCCCTTGAGCCGTTCGTTGCTGGCGCGCAGGTCGGCGGTGCGTTCGGCGATCCGCCGCTCCAGTTGGCTGTTGGCTTCCTGCAAGGCTTCCCGCGCGGCGAGGCGGGTGGCGATGACCTTGCGTCGCTCGTTCCAGGCAATCAGCAGGAATGCCACCAGGCCGAAGGCGACCGCCACCAGGATGCCCTGATTGATCGCTGCGCGACGCAGGTCGTTGAGTGGGGTGAGGAGGGTGAAGCTCCAGGGTGTGTCATTGAGCGGGCGCGATTGCGCCAGGTAGCTGACCTCGTGCTCGTCGTTGACCACTTCACTGTTGGCCGGGAAGGTCAGTTTTTCCGTTCCTTCCTTCAAACGCTCGCGTGCCAGGGGCTCCAGCTCGTTCAAGGTGGCCCAGTAGTATTGCAGGCTGTGGGCGAGGCGTTCTTTGACCTCGTCGCTCAGTGGACGCACGGCCTTGAGGCGGCGGGCCGGGTCGCTGGAGAGAATGATGATGCCGTTCTCGTCGCTCACGAACGCTTCGAGGCGCGCACGCTGCCAGCGCTCTTCCAGGGCTTCGAGGCGCACTTTGACCACGGCGACGCCAATGATTTTGCCGTGCTCCTCCAGGCCATGGGCCAGGTAGTAGCCAGGCTCGCCGTTGGTGCTGCCGATGCCGTAGAAACGACCGGGCTGGCCGCGCACGGCGTTCTGGAAATATGCGCGGAAGGACAGGTCTTCCCCCTGGTAACTGTCGGCATCGCGCCAGTTACTGGTGGCGAGTACGCGGCCAGTGGTGTCCATCACGTAGATGGCCCGGCTGCGGCTGCGTCGGTTCAGGCCTTCGAGGTAATCGTTGACGGCTTTGCGGGTTTCTTGATTCGGGTCGGCCAGCAGCGTGGAGACACTGGTTTCCAGCTCCAGCAGGCTGGGCAGGTAGGTGTATTTGCTGATCTCGCTCTCGACGGTACGGGCATGCAGCTCCAACTGGCGTTCGCCGTTGTCGCTGAGGGTGCGGATGCCATAGTACTCACTGATCCAGAAGCCGATGTAACCCAGGCCGATCATCAGGGCGATGATCAACGGCGGCAGGAACAACTGGCGAATCAGGCGAGGTTTCACGGCAAGTGATGGCGGTGCGGCGCGAAATTGGTTGGGGTCGCATTTCATCACAGATGCCTTGGGTCAACCAGAGCTTGCCATGTAGGAGGGGGCTTACCCCCGATGACGGTGGCTCAGTAACAGATGTACCGACTGACACACAGCTATCGGGGGCAAGCCCCCTCCCACACTGGCTCGGGCTTAATTGCTTAGTGCTGCAGGATTTTCTCGAGGAACTGCTGCGCGCGCTCGGAGCGGGCGCTGATGTCGCCGAAGAATTCTTCTTTCGGGCAGTCTTCGATGATCTTGCCGGCATCCATGAAGATCACGCGGTCGGCCACTTTACGGGCGAAGCCCATTTCGTGGGTCACGCACATCATGGTCATGCCTTCCTGAGCCAGTTGCACCATTACATCCAACACTTCGTTGACCATTTCCGGGTCCAGGGCCGAGGTCGGTTCGTCGAACAGCATGACGATCGGGTCCATGGCCAGGGCGCGGGCAATCGCCACACGTTGCTGCTGACCACCGGAGAGCTGGCCAGGATGCTTGTGGGCGTGTGCCGACAGGCCGACGCGCTCAAGCAATTGCAGGCCTTTCTTGGTGGCTTCTTCCTTACTGCGGCCAAGCACCTTGATCTGCGCGATGGTCAGGTTTTCGGTGATGGTCAGGTGTGGGAACAGCTCGAAGTGCTGGAACACCATGCCCACGCGCGAGCGCAGTTTCGGCAGGTTGGTCTTCGGGTCGGCGATGGAAGTGCCGTCGACCACGATGTCGCCTTTCTGGAACGGTTCCAGCGCGTTCACGCACTTGATCAGGGTGGATTTGCCCGAGCCGGAGGGCCCGCACACCACGATTACTTCGCCTTTTTTAACCTCGGTGCTGCAATCGGTCAGCACCTGGAAGTCGCCATACCACTTGTTGATGTTCTTGATAGAGATCATACGGCAAACCTTTTTTGCAGACGCTTGACCAGCAGCGAGGCGGAAAAGCTGATGATGAAGTAGACGACACCGGCGAAGATCAGGAACTCATTGGAGCGGCCGATGATATCGCCGTTGGAGCGGGCGGAGTTGAGGAAGTCCACCAGGCCCACGGTGTAGACCAGCGACGTATCCTGGAACAGGATGATCGACTGTTGCAGCAGCAACGGGGTCATCTTGCGGAACGCCTGGGGCAGGATGATCAGGCGCATGGTCTGGCCGTAGGTCATGCCCATGGCCTGTGCTGCCGCCATCTGGCCCTTGGGGATCGACTGCACGCCGGCCCGCACGATTTCACAGAAGTACGCGGCTTCGAACATCATGAAAGCCACGACGCAGGAGGTGAACGCACCGATTGGGGTGTCTTCGCCGGTGATCCAGCGCAGCACGAACGGCACCGCCAGGTAGAACCAGGTGATCACCAGCAGCAGGGGGATCGAGCGGAAGTAGTTCACATAGGCGCCGGCCAGACGCGACAGCAGTTTGCTGGACGACAGGCGCATCAGCGCGAGAATCGTGCCCAGGGCGATACCGCCGATCACGCCCATGACCATCAGCTTCAAGGTCATGATCATGCCGTTCCACAGGCCGGGCATGGCGGGGATGATACCGCTGAAATCGAGTTCCATTATTTACCCCCCACGGAGATCAGGCCGGGCACTGCGACTTTCTTCTCGACCAGGCGCATCAGCAGCATCAGGCTCATGTTCAGGGTGAAGTAGATCAGCGTGGCCAGGGTGAAGGCTTCGAACAGGTTGGCCGAGAACTCGGCGGTCTGTTTGGTTTGCGCCAGCAGTTCCATCAGGCCGATCAAGGACGCCACGGAGGAGTTCTTGAAGACGTTGAGGAATTCCGAGGTGAGGGGCGGGATGATGATGCGGTAGGCCTGGGGCAGCAGCACGTTCCAGTAGATCTGCGGCAGCTTGAAGCCCATGGCGCGGGCGGCGGCTTCCTGGCCGCGTGGCAGCGCCTGGATACCGGTGCGCACTTGTTCGCAGACACGGGCCGCGGTGAACAGGCCCAGGCACACGACAACGCTCAGGTAGGCCGAGGTGGTCGGGTTCAAGTCCTGCTTGTACCAGTCCTGCAGGTTCTGCGGCAGCAGGTCGGGCACCAGGAAGTACCAGATAAACAGCTGCACCAGCAACGGCACGTTACGGAACAGCTCCACGTAACAGGTCGCAATGCCGGATACCAGCCGGTTCGGCACGGTGCGCATGACCCCCAGAATGGAGCCCAGCAGCAAGGCGATGATCCATGCCACGACGGCGATGGCGATGGTCCAGCCCAAGCCGGCGATGTACCAGTCGAGATAAGTCTCGCTGCCCACGCCGGTGGACTTGAAGAACACGCCCCAGTCCCAGTTGTAATTCATTAGGGTCTCCCCCGAAATCGATCGATGTACAAGCACCCGCTTGGGGAAAATCCATTCCCGCCTGACGTTGAACGCCAGGCACACGCGATCGGCTCGAAAACCGCCAGGTCGAGTGTTCCAAGTTAAAACCAGCAGGTAGTAACAGACGCCTGAGGGAGGGTTGGCTCCCTCAGGAGATAAGGTTAGTCAGCTTTTAGATCTTTACTTCCGGAGCCGGCTTATCGGTCGGGTTCTGGATCAGTTCCTTGACCTTGTCGCTCATCGGGAAGTTGAGGTTCAGGCCTTTAGGTGGAACCGGGCTTTCGAACCACTTGGCGTAGATCTTGTTGATCTCGCCGGACTTGTACAGACCGATGATGGCGTCATCCACGGCTTTCTTGAACGCTGGGTCGTCTTTGCGGACCATGCAGGCGTAGGCTTCGAAAGACTGCGGAGTACCGGTGATTACCCAGTCATCCGGCTTCTTGGCCTTGGCTTCCTCACCGGCCAGCAGGGCGTCATCCATCATGAACGCTACGGCGCGGCCGCCTTCAAGCATCTGGAAGGATTCGCCGTGGTCTTTGGCGGAGATGATGTTCATGCCCATCTGCTTGTCGGCGTTCATCGACTTGATGATGCGCTCGGACGTGGTGCCGGCGGTGGTCACGACGTTCTTGCCTTTAAGGTCGGCAAAGTCGGCATAGCTTGGCTTGCCATCTTTGTCTTTCTTGACCAGCAGACGGGTGCCGATTTCGAAGATGTTGGTGGTGAAAGCGACTTGCTGGGCGCGTTCGGCGTTGTTGGTGGTGGAACCGCACTCGATGTCGACGGTGCCGTTCTGAACCAGCGGAATACGGGTCTGCGAGGTCACCAGGTTGTAACGGGTCTGCAGATCGGGCTTGTTCAGGTCTTTTTTCAGGGCTTCAACGATGGCCAGCTGAATGTCGTGGGAGTAACCCACAGGTTTGCCCGAGCCATCCGCGATGTAGGAGAACGGAATGGAGCTGTCGCGGTGCCCGAGGGTGATGGTGCCGGAGTCGTTGATTTTCTTCAGCGTGCCGGTGAGTTCGGCGGCAAAGACTGGAGTGCTGATCAGAGCAGCAGCGATAGCTGCGCCCAAAATATGGGGAACGATGCGCATCAATACTTCCTCGACATTTGTTTTTTTTATGAAGCCGGCTAAACGGCTCTCTTGTACAGCGAATGTCCGTGACGGCTCCTGAGGCGTCTCGGCAATCGTCCAAGAGTGTAGAGCATGAGTCGTGCCAGGCTTGAAATAAAAGGTTAACTGTATGATTTAAAAGGTGATTAAGTTTGTGTTACGGGATTTCGCCGGTCTTTTGATCCGGCAAACCGAATAGCGTGGGAAGTCGTGTTCGGAAAACCGAATGGCCGTTGGTTGGTCGATCGGCGTAAGTGTGTACGGGACAAACGCAAAAGCGCCGCGTTTATTCAGAATAAACGCGGCGCTCTCAGGTTGTTACTCGCAGGCTCAAGACCATGCGGCGGCAGGTCAGGCCGCTTGGAACTTACTGCGGTTCTGCTCAACCTTGGACAGGTAGCGCTGGACGTTGTCCTGCTCTTGCTCAGTGGTAAACAGGCCCAGCTTGGTGCGGCGCCATAGGATGTCCTGAGCCTGGGTGGCCCATTCTTCTGTGCACAGATAGTCGACCTCGCGGGTGTACAGGCCACCGCCCAAATGCTCGCCCAGGTCAGCCAGGGTTTGCACGCCCTCCAGCAGGCGCCAAGTGCGGCTGCCGTAGGTTGTGGACCAGCGGCGTGCGATCTCGCTCGGAACCCAATCGAACTTGGCGCGAATCGCCTCGGCCAGCGCTTCGGGCGTGCTCATGTCCTCACCACCCGGCAGGCTGGCCGTGGCGGTCCAGCTAGGACGCATCTGCGTGAAGTACGGCGCCAGTTGGGCCATGGCCGATTCGGCGAGCTTGCGATAGGTGGTCAACTTGCCACCGAACACCGACAGGATTGGTGCCTCGCCCGTACTCCCGGACAGTGCCAGGGTGTAGTCGCGGGTGATCGCCGATGGGTTGTCCGACTCGTCGTTGCACAACGGGCGTACGCCGGAGTAGGTGTGCACGATGTCATCGCGGCTCAGTTGCTTCTTGAAGTGGGCATTGACCACCTTGAGCATGTAGTCGGTTTCGCCCTCGGTGATCGCCACTTTCGCCGGGTCACCGGTGTATTCGCGGTCGGTGGTGCCGATGATAGTTAGATGATTCAGGTACGGAATCGTGAAGACGATGCGCTGGTCTTCGTTCTGCAAAATGTGCGCGTGGGCGCCTTCATACAATTTCGGCACGATCAGGTGGCTGCCCTGGATCAGGCGGATGCCGTAGGGCGAATCCAGTTTCAGGTCATCCTTGATGAATTTGGCCACCCATGGGCCGGCGGCATTCACCAACGCACGAGCGCGAATCGAAAACAGGCTGCCGTCGGCACGTTCCATGTTCATTTCCCACAGACCCTTGCTGCGATGGGCGCTGACGCACCGGGTCTGGGTGTGGATATGGGCGCCCTTTTCGCGGGCGGCCATGGCGTTGAGCACCACCAGGCGGGCGTCGTCGACCCAGCAGTCGGAATACTCGAACCCTTTGGTGATTTCGCTTTTCAGTGGGCTGTCCGGGCCAAACTTGAGGCTCTTGGAACCCGCGAGCTTTTCGCGCTTGCCCAGGTTGTCATAGAGGAACAGCCCAGCACGAATCATCCACGCCGGACGCAGGTGCGGGCGGTGCGGCAGGACAAAACGCATTTGCTTGACGATGTGCGGCGCCTTGGCCAGCAGCACTTCCCGTTCGGCCAGGGCTTCGCGCACCAGACGGAATTCGTAATGTTCGAGATAGCGCAAACCGCCGTGGATCAGCTTGCTGCTGGCGGAAGAGGTGTGGCTGGCCAGGTCATCCTTTTCGCAAAGGAATACCGACAGCCCACGACCGGCTGCATCTGCTGCAATGCCGACGCCATTGATCCCGCCGCCGATAACGGCAACGTCATAGACTTCAGCAAGCGGTGGAGCAGGCAAGGTAGAAGGGTTCATCGGCTGGCCTCGCGATTTTTTCGTATTGGAATTCGAACATTAATGTTCATTTGCGAAAATGGTAGCCGATAAACGCGGGCACAGCCACCCGACTTCGATTGAAAAAACTCATCGAAGGGCAGGAAAAGGAAAAATTGTGAACATTGGCCCGTCTAAGGCTCGAGATGTTTCAGCGAGTATTGATAGCTATCGGGGGCAAGCCCCCTCCCACATTTGAATGGTTATACACATCAAAGTGTGGGAGGGGCTTGCCCCCGATAGCATCAGTAAAGGCCCTACACGACTTCCAGCCGAACCTTATGCTGATTCAGCAACTGCACCAACGCCGGCACCGGCTCTTGGTCAGTCACCAGGCAATCCACCAGACTGATCGGCCCCAACCGAATCATGGCATTGCGCCCGAATTTGCTGGAGTCCGCCGCCAGAATTACTTGCCGGGCATTGGCGATGATCGCCTGAGACACGCGCACTTCCTGGTAATCGAAATCCAGCAGGCTGCCGTCCTCGTCGATGCCGCTGATACCCACCAGTGCGAAGTCGACTTTGAACTGATTGATAAA